CATTATTTTATATGGAACTCAGCTTAGTACCAAAGGTCTAGTGGAACCATACTCTAACTTTGTTCAGAAGTGAAATATCTAATAGTACAGTAGTCTAGTTCGAGCTTAATTTAAGGGTTTTTATCTCTTATTATAGATAATAGAGGTTAATTCATTAAATGCTCTTCACATTTTTAATATTAAATGAAGTCCTAAATGAAATTTAATACCAAGGCCATATCTGACTCTGGCATATCCAACGCCTTTTTTGTGTTTCTCTTAGAGTTTCTGTCTGTAATCGACTTTCGTATTTTATCTGCCCCCAACCAAGGGCGAAAATCAAGCTTATAATTTCACCTTGGCGTGTATTTGGTTGGCTTCACATTTCTATTTATTCGCTAGAAATCACTTTCGTGGCTCATCATCAGCGCAAAAAGCAACCTCAACCGCCGCCGCCACGCCCACACAAAAAAGCCAACATTATAAATGCTTATGGGCAAAGTCGAAAGTCAGCCTCCTTTTTCTGTGTGTGTGTGTGTGTGTGTGTGTGTGTGTGTTTGGGCGGGCAGCAGGCGATGACTGACAACTTAATTGTATTGCTGGACAAACAAGTTTCCATTTGGAGGGGGTGGGCGCTTAACGAGCAGGTTAAAGTCGCGGCCAACTTTCAGTGGGGCCGAATCCAATGCCAATGACAACACCATTAATAATTCAATTTGTTGTTGCTACTGCTGCTGCTGCTGTTGGCAATGGGACGTTGGCCCACGCTGCGTGGAGTGTTGAGCTGTTGTTGGCTCAATATTTGGCAATTACTTTCAGTTTCGCTTAGTTGGCCGCGTCAGGTGCCCCGGCACTTAGCGGTAAGCGATATCCTTAATCTATTTAACCTGTATGTCAACTCCAGGTCCTCGCGCTTCGAGAGTCACAATCTAAATTACCTAAGCTTCTGCCTTACATCCAGGATGTGTCGCATATCCTGCGGCCCCGCCCTGCCCTGAACTGCTGCCGAAGGGGACGACGCGACGTCCTCCTCGTCTGAAGTATCGTTTTAATAAGCGTTTCGCATGTCTTGGCCTTGTTTTCACTTTTCGGTTAATGGCCCACAAGTTGGCCATTGTAAAGTTGGCAGCGTTGCCGACATTATGCTAACTGCTTCCCATTTTGGCTCATCAGATGTTAACCCCAAACCTTTTTATCCAGGAAATGACCGTTCAAACGACCCGTCCATACTCCCACATGCTGCTTTAAGTGCTTATATCTTGGGTAGAGTATCTATCTGTGTGTGTGTGCGTGTGTATTTAATGTTTTTCGAGTATGTGCTTATATTGTATATATAGCAATATGTTGTCCTCTCATGACATTTCACAGCATTCATGAACTGGAAATGACTGAGTAAATGCATGTTTAGTGAGTTATCAATTTTTGGGTGCGCTCTTGAGAGCAGCTACTCAGACTATGAATAGCTTTTTGAATCTCGAGTTCTTAGAATGAATATATGCTAAGGATATATAGAAATATATACGTATATGAAGTATTCTAAGAACACTCCTTTTACAAAGACTTTAACAGGCTGTTAGACTCAGCTCAAAATCAGATTGAAATTGGACGGCATTTAAAAGTCCATCAATCATTCAGTATAACTCCTAGTATAAGTATAATTTAATTCAGTATAACAATATCGATTTTATAACCAATTATATATATTTATACGTTAATAAATTAATCACTATTTAACTTGAACACTATCATTTATCATTCATCACAAACTAATAGACTGAAACTCTCTCTACAGTGCATTCATGTTTAATGTTTAATATTTCGTTGAATGACATTTTATAATATTTATTTTATTTATTTATTTTTTTTTTTTTTTTATTGAACTGAAATTCAAATTATCTTAATTAAAAACTTTTTTTTTTTATTGAACTGAAATTCAAATTATCTTAATTAAAAACTTAAAAAAAAAAAAAAATAATTAAATAAATTAATATTTAAATATTGGAACATTCAAGTTCGATTTATAAGCTTAGCACACGGGCATATTTCCCTTGATTATTTTAATACTAAATCAAAACAAATCGGATGTAATTTATGCACTAATTGAATCCAATACAATCTGTCAAATATAACGAAAACATTTTCGCATTTTTGCCTGTGCCGTCTCAGTCGCAAATAGATTTCTGGTATTTATGCGTTGCAAAGTGCAAAGCGATTTCAAGTATTTGAGCTCGTTGTTGTTTTTGTGCCTGTTTGGGGTATTCACGTGTCAATCAAATGCTAAAAGCATCGACTTAACGGCATCACGTTGCATTTGTATTGAGCTAAGTGGCCATTTATTTGTGTGAGGCCCAGCAGCAAAAGAAATGCGCTTTAATGTGTGTGTGTGTGTTTGTGGGAGTGTGTGTGTACAACTCAATTTGTGTATGTGTGTATGTGCTTGGCAGCTGGCAGCTAAAGGGGCATGGTCTGGAGTAATGTGTTGGGCAATTTGTAAATGTTACTGGCAGATAGAAATCCACTGAGAATGCGTTCATTTCCGACAGGCGGCACTGGCAGGAGCAGCAGCAGCAGCAGCAGCAGGAGCAGGAGCAGCGGCATCAGCTCAGGCACATAATCAAAATTAAAATAAGAATCTCATCGCTCAGGCGCAGACACAGTAACAGCAACAGAGACAGTGACAGGGGGAGACCGGGGGTGGGGTCGCTCCACTGCTTCGCCAGATACATTCTAACAGATATGACACACAGAACAAACGAGCCAAACAAATTACACTTTTTTCCTACTTTATTGCTGGCAATTTATTCGCTGGCTAAATTGAAATACACACAATTTACCTGCAGACGTCGTGACGGCGCTGCGCAGCGCGGCTTGGTGCGTCGCGTCGCGCCACGTCGCTGTCCTTGCCACAGCGGACGGCGAGTGTGCGGTGGCAACTGTGACAGTGACATCATCTGGCTAGAGCAGACAAGAGTCATTTCGGGTCAACATTTCATAAGCTGTGCAGAAACTTCGACTTATGGCCAGAGCACCTTGTACATTAGAGCCATCAATGATCTACTTAAGTAAACCTCAATCAAAAGGCAAGAGGCAAGCGTGCTTGACCTGATAAAGGTTATTAAATGATTAAGAAAACAAATTTTCAGAGGTGTTGAAATTATGGAATATGTGAGCTTAAGCGAAACATTTTCAGTTTTAATTTACAATTTATGTTTAGTAATCAAAAAACCTCCAAAGCAAATAATACAATACAAATAGCAAATAAATAAATAAACAATTTATACAAAAACTGTGGATAGTTCTACTTGAATTTTTTGTTTACCCAATATTTATGACTAACAAAATTTAATTACACAAATAAGTTGCAGGGTATTCCAAGCCTTAGCTATAGCACCTCGCCTTCTGTTCAAGTAAATAAAATGGAAAAGAAAATCTATACAAGTTGTGAACAATTATAACTGAATTAAATCTCGGAGTAAATAAATTTTAAATGAATAAGAAAAAATTCCTAAATAAAAAATAAAACATAAATAAAATACAACAAAATATGCAAAAACTATATTTATTATATATTTCTAAATAAATTGAAAATATATAAAATAATGTTTTCTTAAAGTGCATATATATTAGTTTTTACTATTATTATATCTTATGTCTTACATATGAAATGCATAAGCAAATTAGCTTACGGCTATTTTGACTATTCAATCTATTCGATCTACCAGATCTTCTTCAAAAGAAAAGGATTTTAAAGCGAATTTCGATTCAAATCAACTCTAATGCTTATAAATATCACTTACTCAACTTATTGCAGGGTATCACGAATGCTTACCAAATCAGTTCCCACTGCTGTTCGGTTTTCGGAGCTGGAAAAGTTCAGATTTTAATTTAGATAAAGTGCGCCATGGAAATCAGCGGCAATGGCATTTCGCGTAACTCCACTTGGTTTATCCAAGCTCGAATCAGTAGCACAAAACTAAACACTCCATAAACGCCCACATACATACACACTGAATTGGAGTAGGTGGATAGAGGTGGGGGCATCAGGTAAAGCTGTAAATAGCGCGCTTTCATGTAGATAATTAATCACTGGGCACTGCTAACAATTTTCTGCGAGTTATTTGCAACCGCTTTTTGCATTTTCCTATCCCTGAAAAGTTGGACTCGCTTTTACGTTTGCGTTTCGGATTTGTGTTCCGCTTGAAGCTTGAATTGGGCAGCGCCACGGAGAGGGAAGACGAAGTAGAGGAGTGACGGGAAGATGGCTGCGAGTGGTGGAGCTGGTGGGTTGGTCTTGTGGCTTGTTTTGCGGGCAATCTAAATGCAGTTTTATGCAAATTTATTTCTGATCTTATCGCAAAATTTTCAAGTTCTCAGCCATGGCATGGATGATGAAAAAGGTGAATGAGAGAGGGAGAGAGAGTAATGTAGCGGTAGAGAGGGAATGGGTATTGCATTGTGTAGTTTTGAATTTATTGCTTAAGCTTTCATGGCAGGCGCGGAAATGAAATCAATTATACGCCCTGTTGGCCATTCGATGCACGAAAGGAAATCGAAATTATACGAATTAAATGAAAACGATTAAACATTCGCTGTTAGCCTGTGAATATACAGAGAGCTTTATCTGAAAGGCTAGATTTGAATGGAACGAATATATTTTCGTATATATAAATTTCTATAAATCGTATTTTTATGTGCGATTTTTATTAGAAATGAGAAGCTTGCTTTTAATATAGGTACTAGATTTAAATATTGAAATCGATTTAGTATGCTTATAAAGTTGATATAAATTGTATTTATAATGAGTTTAGAGTTGCCTCCTTGTATAGCCTCCTTGTATATATTTATTGTAGGATAATTTATATTAATATTTTCATTTAATGTTAACAAAGCTATGATTTCTTCATAAAACTGCGCTCTTTTTCTTCCTCTTCTGCTAGTGCCATTCTCATTTTTTATCGATGATTAGCAATCTATGGTTAACTATCGATATCTATCAATAACTCTATCGATAGCTAACCATAGTGCCATCCGCTAATCTAAACAAATGAAATCTCTTATTAGCCTACAAAAATATTAGTTTACTTAGATTTTTATTAGTCCTAAACTGGCTATAGTTGTAGATACTGTGTTAAATTGTTATTGTAATACGTGCTGGAGCTTCGGAAACAAATGTTAAAGGAAATTGTGATTTATATTTGTATATTTGTTTTATGGAAGTAGAATTGTTCCTTTTGAAAATGTTAACTAATTAATATACTTATTTTATTCTTGCAATCAGATACCCATTCCTCATGGACTGAAACCGGAGTTGAAAATTGGCAACGAAAATAGTTTACATAAATTCTGAGCACACTTGCATGGCCGAGCATGAATTGGACTGGAACCGGAGAATGGCTTCGATATTTGGTGGGGTGGGCTGCAACACTCTCTGGCAATCGAGTTGCAAATGGCAAAATATTTAAATGTAACTCAATTTGGAGCGCGCTGGAAACCACTGCCCCAACAAGGAGATGCAGGACAACAGAGCAGCAGCAGCAGCAATAGGAGCAGGAGACAGCAAATGTGTGTGTCCTTCTACCCATAATAACGAGATATTTCTATTTGATTTATTTATAAGTGCAATTTGTGCGCATTTCTTTTGCAAAACTCTCGCCGCTCCCAATGCCTTTTGAGCTCCGACACACACACACACATATGCACACGCACACACACGTGTTCACACATACTTACATTTGAAATGGGGTGTGGTCTTCTGACTGCAGGGAAATGCAATGTTTTATTGACGACAGGCAATTCAATTTGCAAAGTCTGTAATATATTTTGATGCCAAAGCGCAAATAAAAATTGAAATCAAATGCTAAGCATAGCTGAAAATCAAATAAAATAAGAAATTCAAATGGCAACGGCTGTTCGAGGGTATTGCTTGATCTTTTCCACGCCCACAGAATGCTTGAAAATGCCAGAATTTCATTTGTGATTGCATATTGCATGGATAATCTGAATCAATATAAAAAGGTGGAATTTGTAAACGGAGATAAGCTAAAAGCACTCTGAATGCCGAATGGAATCCATTTAAAGGGAAAATTAAAAGGTCTTAATTGTCTGACATATTTATATTGGAATTTCATATAACTTTATCGAAGCACTTTCAGCTCTCTAATATATTCGTAGTGATGAATTCTTTGCCGTATCTATGAGGCACACCTTTACGCAAATGTTAAACGATTCTGAGTTCTGCAAACGGTGTAAATAAACGCAAGAGAATTATTAATGCGGACACCTTATCAAAAATGGCAGCAATCAGCACGCTCAGTTAGCACCTCATTACAGGCTCGAAAGGCAAGCGAGTAGGGTGCGGGCAGTCAAGCTTATTGCTGACCAACCCACACACACACACACACACACACATACGTTAATCGTGGCATTTCTTTTGCAGCTGCAGCTGTGAGGGAGGCAACGGTGGCGGAGGGGCACCCGTCAAAGCCAAGTGGCGTGTCAATTGGCCATTAACTTGGAGTTCAGCCCGATAAATAGAAGCACTAGGAAGAAAAAGCAGCGTCTGGCACAGCGCTCCGAGCCAGGCCAGGCCGTGTCCTGATTGATGCTAAGGGTGTTAGCTGATTGAGCAGCACCTGGCCTAAGTTCTTGCCTACGATCTGACCCGTTGGTCAGCTTGAAAAATCTTTTGGCGTAAGAGGGTATTTTTTCTGTGCTGTTGTTGCTATTGTTCTTGTTCCTTGTACAAGGGATGTCGTTGGGTTGTCAAGGGACTGTGTGGCTGCACGTCAACTTTGTCGCGCGTCAGACGAAAAATTTTAATTAAAAAATTAAATGCGGCAACACTTGGAAATTTGTAAGAAAATTGCTCATTAAAAGTTTTCACCTGGTGAGACGCTCAAAAGCGCAAATCTCGACACTAATTTTCTTTTTCATGTAATTATGTGCAGCAGCAAAACCTGCCAGAAGTCTGAGAAAGAGTAAATGACTCGCAAATACCCCGTATAAAGATGCTGATATAGAATCTATAAAATAATGAATGTAATTTTTAAAAATATATGTACATATAAAGCATATAAAATATAAATTAATAATAAATATAACATATGCTCTATATAAAAATATTTAAGTTTCAGACTTATAAGACTAATCTGATGCCACACTGAATAATATAGTTAAGTTTATTTCCATATAATTTAAAATATAGATATATATATGTATCATATCTATGGATAATTGATATAATTTGATAATTATCCAGTACCCCCCTCATATATTAAAATCTAAGTCGAATAAAATATTTAAAATAATCTACCATGCAAACTGCCCTTCTCCTGCACACAATTACAGGGTACACAGCTTCGCTCTTGCGCTGCATTCAATTGTGTTTTTTGCCAGCGCTTTACACCCAATTTTCTGAGCGCATTTGTAGAGGCAACTCCAACGCTGCCAGAAAGCAACTGCAGAGAGTAGAAGTTGGCGCTGAATTTTTGAACTCTTGACACGATTTCTGAGTTGGTTGGCCATGGGTTTGTCGCTCTGTCTATAGAGTTTCGGAGCCAGTAAGCCTACTAGCCACCAAAATTGATATAAAATTGTTCCCAGCAGAAACGGGAGAAGTCTGTTAGTTAATTTAGTAATGGCTGATTATACGAACATATTCAGGTGCCGTCGAATGGTCGTTGTAATGGAGACAACCATACCAGCCTGCCGAGCAAGTGGCAGCCGTGCCCAACTGGAGAAGTCCTATCATAGTCGGCCGGTATTGATGTGACTGTCTGTGTGTATGCCATGCATATTAATAAATCTATCTTCATGGAGCGACAGCTAGAACAATTGACGTTTTATGTTCGAGTTTGGGCTTGGGCTTAAGCAGATCTGTTATTATGTCATGTTATATAGTCGCCATGGGAGATGGGGCGTACGTGGGCGGTCAGAAAACTGCAGGCTAAATCAAAAGTGTCTGTTCGGTGTCAGTTTAATTGCAAACGTAAATTGGATGCCGGCATTTACAACGTTTTCATTTGCTACGAATGCAGCACGGCTCCAGCTGCAATGTTGGCACTGACAGACATTTCTGGCAGATGCTTCGAGTGCTCTGCTCTGCACCCACACACACAGAGAGAGAGAGAGAGAGAGAGAGAGAGAGAGAGAGAGAGAGAGAGAGAGTAAAATGCAAACGTTGCACAAATCTGAGCTGTGTTAATTGGACTCATTTTAGAAAAGTTGCAATTGTGTATTTCGAATTGGCAGCTCGGACAGTTGACACGCTGCAAAATGGATTCGCAATCAGAGATTGCTGGACACAGGAAAATTCCTTATTTATTACAAGTCTCCTGGGTGTGCATAGAAATTGCAGCAATATATTGAAAGGATTTTATTTCAGACAATTGGTCTGCAATCTATGCTTTACTTCTTCTTATTCTGCTTCTTCTTCTTCTTTTTATTGTTGATGTCAGCGCTCTCGATGGCAGGAACCTTAATATGGGCGTAACCCTTCAGGCTGCACCAGTCATAGCCGTCATCATGAACATATCTGAGGCGAGCGATGAGATCACTAAAGCTGCGGCGCAAGCCCAGATAGTTGGGCTGCGTCTCGAATCGAACATTGCGGCAATAGATCAGGTACGCGGCGAACTCATCGGGGTAGCCCTTGCACAGATCCTCTGGCTTGGTGGACTGCTTCCGCTCGGCCAGCATCTCGTACTTCTGATGGCGCGGCCCCGACAATCCCTGCCAGGGTAGACTGCCGCGCAGAAAGTACATCAGCACATAGCCCAAGGACTCCAAGTCGTCGCGACGGCCGAGCTCGAAACCCAGGAGCGCATTAATGGAGGCATAGCGAGCCGTGCCCGTCATTCGGTTGCCCCACTTGAAGGGTATGTGCTCGTGCAGCTCAGCATCGTAGAATCGCTTCGCCAGGCCAAAGTCAATGAGATGCACGACATTGCTGTCGGTGCCGATGGTAAAGTTATCGGGCTTAATGTCGCGATGCAGAAAGCTCTTCATATGCACATGCTCGATGCGCTCGATCATCTGCAGCGCCAGCATCAGCACCGTCTTCAGTGTGAAGCGACGCGAGCAGAAGTTGAACAAATCCTCCAGCGACGGCCCCAGCAGCTCCATGACCATCACATTATACTTGCTCTCCTGAAAGAAGTTGTGGACGCGCGGCACCCCAGGGGCCGGCATCAGCACCTTGTAAAGATTGTACTCGAACAGCAGTTGCGGCCGAATCATAGTATTCTCTTCCAGCTTGAGGGCCACGCGCTCCCCACTCCCCATGTGCTCGGCCAGTAGGACGTCGCCGAAGGTGCCGTTGCCAATCTTCAGGAGAACGCGATACTGGCGTATGCACGCAGGTACGGTTATCGTTCTCTTGGGCTGACGAAGCATGGCTGAGCGAAAATCACAAATTTCTTCAACTTTGTGGTTTTGTTTCGCTTTAATTTACGCTTTTTTTCGGACGTAGTTGCAGCTGACTTTCCTATCGTTGTTCGTTGTTGTCGTTTGACATTTACGGCTTGTCAAAATTATCGATAATTTTTTTTTATTTTGCATTTGGGATCTTTGCGTCTGTCGGCAAGTTGACTTCGATTATTCAAGTTTCAAAATGGTGCACTTTGACGTGATGCGCCTCCAGTATGAGAAGCGCATAGGGGAGCTGGAGCGGCAGGTGCTGGAATGCTCGCAGATGCTGCAACAGCTGAAGGAGGATACCGTTGTCATGGACCTGGACGAACAGAAGCCCGTCAGCTACGTGCAGACGGAGACGCATTTGTGCTGGCAATTCGACATGCACGAGTTCCCGTTGCACAACATAAGGGTTGAGCTGAGGGATCGACGTGTCAAATTGCGCGCCTATCACGATCTCGGGGATCAATACGAAGAGGTCTCTCGCCAGTTCGAGTTGCCCGAACACGCCAACACCGTCCTGAGCGCCAAGCTGGGCATCACTGGCATTCTGACCATACAGGCTCCGATCAGGATCCAAGCTGACTAGAATGCAAGCAGATTAGTACAACTATATACACACATATACACCTATACACATATACACATGGCATATGCATATATAGATTTGGTTGTTTATTGTACAATATTGACCTACATGTTAATGGCAGAAGATTTATATATTGTTTGTTTATTGAGTTGGGCTCTAGAGCGGCCGCCAGCACTTCATGTAGGGGCAGTCGCGCGCAGCTGGCGCCGGGCAGATGGGACAGACTGGACTGGCTGGCGGCGGAGTGGGGAATACCATAATGTGTGGCGTCGGATTCTGATATGGCAATTGTGCATTCATTCGCTGTTCCTTTTCCAATTCAGCTAAGAGCTCCCGTTTCAATTCCTCCACATATGATGGACCATCGTTCTTAGACTGAGCGCAATTACCGATTCCTGCTTGTCTAGTCAATTGGGATTTTGAACAGACGCGAACTGGCTCCAGTTTAGTTGGCATCCAACACGGCCCAGCGTTGGCTGCTGGCGGTGCCAGCTCTTGACCGGAATTCTTTATACATATGTTCTTAAACGAGGTTATATTTTGCTCACTGCACTTACACGCTGGGAGTGGGGGCTCTGGAATGCAGATAAAAGATGAATTGGGACCTGGATCTGGTGAAATTGTACACTGGTTGTTTCGAACGCTGAAGTAGTCGTTTTCTAGATGATTTCTTTTCGCTGTCATTTGATATGGACATGACGGCAGCTCTTCCATGCAAAGCGAAGGCTTTGCAATTGTTCGATTGCATTTCATACTCTGGTTGCCCGAATGCAAATGAGTACAGGAAACTTTGCGATCAGAAGGAGCGCATTTCTGTAGCTGCTCCGAATGCAACTGAGCAAAAGAGACCTTGTGCTCGGTGGGAAAACATTTTGGCTCTGCCGATATTAGGTTTTGTTTGCTGCACGACAATTTTGGAGGAGACAAACCCAAGCTGCAACAGGAGCCCTGAGGTTTAACTGCTGCAAACGAGAGTTCTGGCTCGTTACATGTCTTGTGGCCCACAGAAATCTTGTGACAGCAAACCATTGTAGAGCTAGCAAGACTATGATTGTCTTCAATGAATTTTGAATTCACATTCCGATTCTCATTTGGATTCCTGCAGGCATCGATGTGGTCATCCCGATTGTGACAGTCGTGACAGCTGTGACTAGCCTTTGCTTTGGCTGTGCACGAAAAGGCCGCCTCTTTAGAAATAGCCGTAATCCGCTCGGCAGGTACAATACTCTCCGGTTTCCTATAATAGTCACAGCAGCCTTTAATATTGTCATCGTTCACAGTATCAACATCTGTGTTATTTACCTTTCCGCGCGTTACTCTGTAGACCGTTGGGTAGACGTTGCATCTGGTTTTCTTTCTAATCGAAGTAAAGCCGTAACTAGGTTTTCTTTGAAAGCATCTCGGACTCTTAGAGCTCGAAGTTATACGGGATGCATTACTCCCGCACTTGGACACAGCGGTCTTATGACTTATAAGGTTATTGAAATTTGAAACAGATCCCTGCTCCTTTCCATCGGGTCGGTGCTTAATTTGGCTTTGGATTCTAACCTTGGATTTGGACCTTTTAAAGAATCCAGATATTTTCTCTTTTAGTGACTTATGGTGTTTGCGCTGCGGCCTATAGTAATTTGTGGAACTCCGGCAAATCGAATTGGAACGCATAAAATCCGAATCATAATCTACATTTCGCGACATCGGCTTAGTTGCAGCATAGTAATCATAGCCGGACTCTGGGCGACCACATACATCATACTCATAGTTAAAGTTCGGTACATGATTTGGCATCGTTTCCTTAAATGGAATATCAACAGAGTGTAGCTCAAGGCATGATAAGCTTTCTGGATATTCGTAATTTTGTCTCTGCGTACGTAACATATTTCGTTTCATTTTTAGTATGTTGTAGGGTATTTCACAATCGACGCCAAGGAAATCCACAGATTTCTTCTGATAAAGCGACCTTCGATACAGCTCGGGACTGTACTCGTAATCGCAGTCATAGCTTAATGCGGGCTCTGGATAATAGTTATACCTTACGTGTGGTATCGGATTGTACTTCCACTCTGAGTGGTATTCTGGCGCATATTTTACATTTGGATTATAGTCTGTATAGCAGTCACGCTGATTATGATTATGATAAGGGACCTCCAAATACTCTGAATTCGTATAACCGGAAGGTTGTCTGAATCTTGTCCTATCTATACTGTTTGGTTTAGCTACGGCGTAATCTTGATTTTCAGATGGGTGTGAGCTGTAGGATCTATCGTGGAGTTTGTTGGGAAATTCACATTTATAGAACGAGTTAGATAATTTTGTGTTTTCCAGACTTCCATAGCGCTTCTTATTTCGAAAGTCCCATTCCGGAGGATAATCCCATTCAGCAGGTGGTTTGGCATAATTTGCCTTATATCCAGGATGTTTGTAATGTTGCGCATAGGGGTCGAAGCTCAGTTGGTTCGGGCATTCGTAAGACTCCATGAGGTTAGGCCTGGGCGGCACTGCACTCATACATCTATCACTACATCTCGTATAGCGTTCGGGCTTATAGATATCATTGCGACTATTTGAATCTGGATTCAAACCATATGGAATTTGGTGCTTTTTGCGATGTCTCTCTAATCCAGAGCGTTTCCTGGCAAAGAATTTATTTGGAACCGTAAAAGACAACCTACTTCCTCTACCGTATTTGTCCTCTATAGATCCAAATAGACCTCCGCCAGGACTCCGATCTGAAAGAAATATAGACAATTAATAAAGTGTAAGACGAGGTGAAAATAATTACACACGCTCTTGATGAGTTGCAAAGATTTGGCCAAAACTGTTGATGCGGTTATCTATCATCTCCGATATATCAATACTAAGACACACGGATATTCTCTGCAAATAATCGTCGTCCCGCTCTTCATTCGAGTGTATGTAGCGCAGGCCGCTCCACCTTTCCATGTTAAATAGCAGTGCCCAACCTCATGAATCCGTTAGCCAGAAACCCAACTCTCAGATTGACTCACAATTTAACAGAATAGTTTTTCGATTATCGGCAAGCTCTGCAAGCTTAGCAACACTTATCGATTGGCCGATTAATTTTATTCCGTCGCTGCAGAGGTTGAGGTGAATGGCAAACCTGCACTTATATTGGATATTTCTGGAAGTTTTCAAACTATTTGGAGCCCTTTAATATGTCAGCTATATCGAGAGCAACACAAACTGAGTCATCGGATCGTTTGGCGGCAGTTCAACTGCGTTTGGAGAACCTGAAGAGCATCTTGCCCCAACACGATGTTGCCTGGGCAGAGTGTCAAGAAGTTCAACGTTCGCCAACTACAATTGCTAAGAGCGGAAGCACACAGATTAAGCGAGACAGATCGACAGTCCCTATTGGCCACTACCGAACGAGAGTCGCCCGAAGTGTTTATAAGAACCTCAACTGGGATTCCTATTCGCTGGCGACGCGCGCCCTTCTGGACGCTGTCTTTGACAAAGAGACGCTCGGCACGAAGAATCTATCTGGCATTAAAATTGACTCGAAGGGTCGCCAATGGTCCGCGACCAATATGCTTGATCCGCAGAAGATCAGCGACATTGTGCAGCTGGTTAAACGAAACTGCAAAGTGGACGAACGACGCATACGTAAAATTATTGCTCACAAATGCGGGGATACTGCCAGTACGAAACGCATAAAGAGTTTATAAAATAAATACAATACATTGTAAATAAATACATACATACATATTTGATAAACAAATATCAAGACACTAAAGTTTTGTTTGGGGCTTTTCGTTCTGTGGCATTATTCTTGCTTTTAATTGCAGCGTTAATTATTTTATAATGATTGAAATGGCAACAACAAAGGAGGACGTCGGACGTCATCATTATTTTAAGAGTGCTAGAAAATATGCTCTTAATTGCGGAAATATATTTCCATTTAAAAATATGAGAATAAAATAGATGCGATAATTATGCGGAATACGCCAGCATTTCCATCACATTAAAATTTCAAACAATAGAGACAGTAAAATGCAGCGCCCGGATAATGGGAAAAACCCAATCCCAATCCCAATTGCGAATGGCAAATGCCTGAAGCGTGTTCAAGTGCGGAAACGCTGGAAATTATTGTGAGGCAAAAGTGCTTTTTAAGTACCACCCGCTACCACGAGTTTCGGAGTGAGCCACTCGTAAAGCTCCCCCATACCCAAATGCAATGCAATTTATAAGAGCGTAGGCAATGCCAATGCCAATGGCGAACACAAAGCCCGAGGCAATGGCCAGTGTACCGTGCAATGTCGAAGATGAATCAGTTTATTATTATTTAATCACATTGCTAAAGTTGTAAGCCCTCATTTTATTAATGTATAGTCTGTCAGATTAGATATTAATTTATTGGGATACTACTATTTACGAAGAAGTGTTGAAAATCATTTATCTTGAACAAGGCACTTCCATTTTTTAAAGGATTTTTGTTTGTTTGCTAAAATCTGTTTTAATTTGATTAAAATATTTGTATTAAAGTGACCCTTCGGCTATTGCTAAAAAGTATAGATTTATATGTAAATACTGTAAAAAGTTGCATTGGTTTGCTTATTGATTATATGGCTCAAGAATGGCACAAGTATGTATGTATGTATGAGTGACCGATAGTCAAGCTTGAATATTCTGGCCGCGCTTGAATTTAGATTTTTAAGAGCGAAACGTTCTTTAAAAGTCAAGCTGTGATTTCGAATGGGATTTAAGTCAAACTTAAATAAGAATAATACTGACATTCTAACATTTTCAATTAGCTAATATGTACATATGTATTCTTCATAGTCCTTAAATGATTTTGTTTGCTTTGATTTGTTTCACATATAAACAATTATGAATTTATTATTGAATAGTAAAATCAGCGCTAGATAGCTAGAGTGTTTAGTTACTTATAGAATGTTTTGTATAGTATGTTTTTGTTGTCAAGTAAATCTCAGTTTTGTAGTCTATTTTTATACTATTTGTACATGTTCCTTTTTTTTTTTTTTTTTTAAATTTCAATGGAAACTGTCATCGGCTTGAAGGGCAAAGATTATGTCATGCTGGCGGCCGATACAATGCTGGCCAAGAACATATACTTTTTGAGGGATAGTAAGTATCAATAAATCAGCATGCTTGATGCAGAGACGGTGCCTTCTTTTCTTCTGCGGCTTCTTGTTTCGTAGATTGCTCAAAGATACGCGTCCTTTCGAGCAATAGCATGGTGGGCGTGATTGGCAATGAAGGCGACTCCACGAAGTTTGCGGACTTCATTGCGACGCGTGTTTCGCTCTACGAAATCGCGAACGGCTATTCCATGGACACGCCGATAGTCACACACTTTGCGCGCCAGCATTTGCTGTCGAGCTTGGCCAGCCGGATCAAATTTGTGGTCTCGATGCTGGTTGCCTGCTTCGATACGAAAAGGGGAGCCAGTTTGTGTTATATCGATTCTAAGGGCGCATCACAGTACCTCAACTATTCCGGACAAGGCATCGGTAACTCAGTATCCATGAGCATTTTCCACACGATGTGGAGGCCCGACCTCAGCATCGAAGATGGATTGGCCATAGTACGTAGGTGTGTCACAGAGATTCAGAGCCGTTTGATAGTTAATTTCCGCCATTTCGAGATCTTTCTGCTGGACAAGAACGGCGTTCGCAAGCTGGAAGTGTTCTGCCCCCTACCAGTATCAGATCAGATATTTCCCCAACGACTAATCCCCGATGCATTAAAATGAGACTCGTTTGTTGTACAGATTTTATTAGAAAGTTAGATAATATATTAAGTGCATCGCAAAATCGATATTATGATATAATATTTATTATTCTGTCAAATAAAGGAGTGTACCACCTGCTGATTCCGTTGCACCTACTGAAATTCGCCATATGGCATAAAACTTACAGTTAAACAAGTAACAAAACTTTAGGTGGGAGTGCTTGACTGGGACATACCCTATCCATATATGGTACAATGTCTCGAAATATCACTTGATAATCGATTATTGTTAACACCGTCCACTGATCTATTGAGCTCTACCTGATCACCGATGTATGTATATACTACATGGGGTCGGTTACGCCTCCTTCTGCCTGCAGCACACATATTTACAGCGGCATTTTACAGGCTGCAATTAGTCGTGGCTTTGATGGCGATAATTGCGGAAATGACCTTGAGCTTCTGTCCTTGTCATTGTGGTGGTATAAAAGCCCCTTTGGGCTCAGCCTTTTAACAATCAGCTAGGTCAACAACGTAACAGTCATGTCGACAATTTTCATCAAAAAAAGCGTCTACTTCGGCGTTATTTGGTCGTCATATTACGCCTTGGGCGGCGTCAACTTGTATGACGGGAATTATGGAACCATTCGCTACTGGGCTGCTGTGCTGCTTAATGTTGTCGTGACTTTGTGCTTGCCGCTGATGCTTTTCATGAGCATGTTCAGCTTCGATCTGCCGCTGGACAATCTGATCAACTTCAATATAACTCTCACCTCGGCGTGCGCCTCTGTGAAATTCGTAGTATATGTCACTCAACTGAAGAAGATTGTGGAGATCGAGCAGCGAGTGGCTCAGCTGGACCGGCGTGCGGACACGGATAAACAACGTTCTTATAAGGCCGAAATGGCCAGGAAATTAGTCATCATGTCTACTGTGTACAAATATATTTACTGCTGTGCTATTTTAACCACATGTGCTCCTCCTTTGTTTCAAAAGGAACGCTCGCTACCATTCCCGGCCTGGTTTCCAACGGACTGGACTACTTCGCTGACCAGTTACATAATTGCGGTGAGTCACCAGATTCTCTCAATAGTCGTACAAGTGCTGCAGAACTTTGTGGATGATCTGTTTCCGCCAATGATCTTCGTGATCATTGTTGGCCAATGCGAGCTGCTCATCCAGCGACTCTCGAGCATCGGCTACGACCAAAGTGACCAGCGCGCCAATGAACGGAAGCTCATCGGATGCATTCGTGATCATCAGAAGATTATTCGGTAATCCACATCAAATACTCATTTCTTCACTGCCCGTAATCTTTTTTCTCTCCCTCTCTACGTTAGGCTACACGAGCTCACCATGGAGATTATCTCGTACCCATTGTTGGTGCAGTTCGTTGTGATCGCCATCGATGTGGGCACCGCCCTGTGTGCTCTACTATTTTACGCCGAGAATGTGAACGACAAAATCTACTTTATCTCTTTTATTTTCGCCATGACAATGCAAATATTTCCCATTTGCTATTTAGGGACCATGGTGGAGTATTCGTTTGGACAGTTGCACTTCGCTGTCTATAGCAGCAATTGGGTCGATCAGAGCATTTCCTATCGCAAGAGCGTACTCATCTTTGCGGAGCGTACTCAGCGATTACCTAAGCAGATTGCCGGCAATTTTATACCAATTGCTTTAACCACTTTCCTCGCTAACTGCAAGGCGGCCTATTCCTTCTGCACTCTCCTCTCAGACACTGGAGCAAAGTAATAGAAGGGGAGCATATATAATCGAAATCAATATAAAGTTCACTTAATGAATAATATAAATTATATATGTATATCATTCTGTCAAATAAATTAGTGCACCACCTACCGATTGGATAGCTAAATTTTGCCATATGGCATAAAGTTCGCAATTAAATAATTAAGAAAGTCCTAGTCGGGAGTGACCGACTTGAAGATACCCTAATGACATTTTTGGCCAATCAAAACTGTATTGTTAAAATATTACATTTGCATCATACAGATATAATACATAATATTGTATATCAGAACTTGAGGCAGTTATCTACTTCTAGAGGTCTGCTGCTCTTCACCGAATGCGAACTTCAGTCAGTACACGGAATGTTCAAGGCCCTTCTTGCCTTTCTAAATTCAATTTACAGGCTGCAATTAGACTTCGCTTTGATGTCGATAATTGCACAAAATTACCTTGAAAGTCTATCCTTGTCACTGTCGCGCTATAAAAGCCACGAGCTTCGTGCTCAGCAGCTTAACACTTGGTCGGACCTGGATAGTCACAGTAACAGTTATGTCGACAATTTTCAACAAAAAAAGCGTCTACTTCGGCGTTATTTGGTCGTCTTATTACGCCTTAGGCGGCGTCGACTTGTATGACGGGAATTATGGAACCATTCGCTACTGGGCTGCTGTGCTGCTTAATGTTGTCGTGACTTTGGGGTTTCCGCTGATGCTTTTCATGGCTATGTTCAGCTTCGAGCTGCCGTTGGACAATCTGATCAACTTCAATATATCGCTCACCTCGGTATCCGCCTCTGTAAAATTCGTAATTTTTGTCATTCAGCTAAAGAAGATTGTGGAGATCGAGCAGCGAGTGGCTCAGCTGGACAGGCGTGCAGACACGCATGAACAACGTTCCTATAAGGCCGAAATGGTCAGGAAGTTGGTCATGGTGTCTACTGTGTATAAATATATCTATGGCTGCTGCGTTGTGACGTCGAGCGTCTCCTTTCTGTTTTACAAGGAGCGCTCTTTGCCATTCCCGGCCTGGTTTCCAACGGACTGGACTACTTCGCTGACCAGTTACATAATTGCGGTGAGTCACCAGATTCTCTCAATAGTCGTACAAGTGCTGCAGAACTTTGTGGATGATCTGTTTCCGCCAATGATCTTCGTGATCATTGTTGGCCAATGCGAGCTGCTCATCCAGCGACTCTCGAGCATCGGCTATGACCAAAGTGACCAGCGCGCCAATGAATGGAAGCTCATAGAATGCATTCGTGATCATCAGAAGATTTTTGAGTAAGTTTTCTCAATTGCTGTTGCTCGAAAAATCTCTATTATTACTATTATTACTCAGGCTGCACGATCTCACCATGGAGGTAATTTCGTGGCCCTTGCTGGTGCAGTTCGTTGTGATCTCTATTGACGTCGGCACCGCCCTGTGTGCTCTAATCTTCTACGCTGAGAATATGAACGAAAAAGTCTACTTCAGCTCATTTATTTTCGCCTTGGGCATGCAAATATTTCCCATTTGCTACTTTGGGACCATGGTGGAGTATTCGTTTGGTCGTTTGCACTATGCCGTCTATAGCAGCAATTGGGTCGATCAAAGCATGTCCTACCGCAAGAGCGTGCTCATCTTTGTGGAGCGCACTCGACGCTTGCCTAAACAAATGGCAGGCAACTTTGTGCCAATAGCCTTAACCACTTTTCTGGCCAATTGCAAGGCGGCCTACTCCTTCTGTACGCTGCTCGCAGATAGTGGATCAAAGTAATATGAGAAGCGGATCTAGAGTGGATTATAAAATTCATTTAAGTAATACATATAAAGAAGGAAAACTTTATAAAAGCTTTCAAGTAGTAAAGCTCAAATATATTTTAATTGCATGTTTTTTAAGTTTTTGAAAGCACATGTAAGCACTATTTGTAAAATGTTATAAATTGCAAAGTTATATCAAATTTTAAAAGTAGTTTTTTTCTATATTTCTAATGTTTAAATACCACAGATAATATCAAATGCGTTTTGCTCTGAACTAGCAATCAAGAAATATATACTTTGATCAATCTTTATATTAATGCACTTAGTCTGTTCATATATCAAACTCAATCAAAAATAATTTCTCAGAATAAATTAAATTTTATTGAAAGCTCGTTTCAAATACTATTCAAAATTTCTTATTGGAATCTCATTTTAAATATCTTTAATCATATTAATATACTATTATCTTATTTTATTTTTTTTTTTCGGCAAATTAGAATATTGAAACACTTAAGCTAAATAAGCTTATCAACAAATTAATCAACCAATCAACTTGTCTGGTAAATTTCTCTCAAAATCACAGATTAAATTTATAGTTTAGCTTTTGGAAAAATATCAAAATTGAATTTAAGGATGGCAATGGAAACGATCTTGGGCATAAAGGGCGAGGATTGTGTGATGCTTGCCTGTGATACGATGCAGGCGAAATCTGTGATCTTTATGAGAGATGGTACAGAAGAGACTCGCTGAAATACAGATATCTTTATTTATTTATATAAAAGCATTTCTAACCTTTGAATTTGCTTTCTAGACCAGTCGAAAATTCATCGTCTCTCCGATTTCGCAATATTGGCAGCAATAGGCGATGGCGGCGACACTTTGCAGTTCACCGATTATATAGCGAAACATCTGAAGCTATATAACATATCGAATGGCTACCACCTGAGTCCGCGCGGTGCAGCGCACTTTACGCGCAAGAATCTGGCGGATTATATAAGGACCAATACCAGGTATCAGGTGTCGATGCTGTTGGCTGGCTACGACAGCGTTGAAGGACCCGATCTACATTTTATCGACTCCTATGGCGCTGCCATGCCCATTAATCATGCTGGCCATGGCCTGGGCAGCCTCTTTTGCGGCAGCATCTTCCAGCGGTATTGGACGCACGAGCTGAAGCAGAAGCAGGCCTACAACATATTGAGGATGTGCGTGGCCGAAATCCAAAAGCGTTTGGTCATCAATTTGCGTAACTTCGACGTGTTCGTCGTGAACAGGAACGGAACGAGTCAGCTCGAATCGATCAATCCGGCTTCTTTCGATGCCGATATGCTATGTTTATCGCTGTCTACTAGTATTCAAAACTATAATACAAAATCGTTAAAGTAGAATGAAAAAGTAGGGGATATCATTGCTCAGGTATGTCATTATGAAAGTTTTAAGGGACTTGAGCGAATCATGAATGAGTGCTGTAAAAACTGTAATCTAAAATAGGCTAAATAGGGGTAAATAAGAACCTGTGCCCAGCTAGAGATAGAATAGAGAAATGCAATTGAAATAAAACGTAGCATATTTCAGACATATAAATCAGCTAACATTAGCTAGACTTTCAGCTGAATTATTGGCTTTAAATTGTTCATAAATATGACAAACATAAAAACATTGATAGATCCTACATAAGTTTTCTAACTATCAAATTCCATTTACAGGAGAAATAACTTAAAATGGAATTACTGAAATTTTGCATACAAAAATGTTAAAGAAGATCCAAGTTCCCCAGACAACCCTCTACTATTTAAGCTTTCCACGTTTTGGCTAGATCTCCAATCAGTCAGGCAGTCAGCCTCATCTACATCTATTTACATATGCTATTCTCTATCAGCTGCATGAACTGATGGGTGGCTGAATGTCTTTCACATTTAATGCTGCTTAACTTTTATCGATTAAAACTTTTGGTGGCTTTTTTATACAGCTGTAAACTTGAAGGGATTAGTTGGGATTGAGTAGGCGTAGTGGTATGACAAGGGAACATTCTATGGTTGGCTGCGTTCATGTATTAGCATATGTGGCCTGGCTGCATGGCTGCCTGCCTGGCAGTATGAGGATTTGTTTGTGCAACAATGGCTAAAGTTGCACATAGAGCAACATCTATATATATATATATATATATATATATATATATACGTATATATATACATATGTATAGATACATGTGTGTATGTGTGCGTGTGCGTGTGCTAGTTATGGCACATGGTAACGTCAACTATTGCAAATCGGAAGCAGAAAAGCCAACATGTCTCTATTTCCCCATTTGAGCAGAGCAGTCAGTCAGTCGTCCCGTTGGACAGACGGCAAAAACTCATAAAAATGTGCGCAGCTTGCAACAAAATGCAGTGACAGCAACATCGCCAGCATCGTGTGGCATTGTTGCTGCTGAAGTGGCGGGGTTGCCAGGAATTGGCCGTCAGCGATTTTTATTTGTTTGCAGCCGTCGTTGCCATCACTAATTGGCCGCACATGCCAAAGTGTCACTCGGCTAGCACCGACTCGCCTGCATAGAAATGGAAAACGAACCATGGAAATCTAGGAAAAAATGATCTGCAAATAAAGCCAGCGCTGGCTAGAGACATAACAAACATATCAGCTGGAAAAATGTGAAAACAGTGCAACTAATCGAATGGAAAATACGAAATTCCCAAATGATTTAAGCATACAGATGATGCAGACAGAGCGAGCAAATAAAATGTGCGGGGCAGACGGAGACTGCATAAATGCAAATGAATTGAATATATAAATGGGAGATCATAAGATAGATAAGACTGTTCAAAGATATATTGAGTATGGACTATAGATTGTATGTAAGTAAAACTTATTTTGTATTACAATCATAACCCACAAAGCCATTGGTTTCTCTCTGTCTAGTTCACTAGTTCGGCTGTCCGTCCGTCTATACTTCCATCTGTTCATCCGCCTGTTCGACCGCCTTTCCATCCATATCTCAGTCCCTCTATCTGTCCATATGTTTTCTGGGCTGTACTCTTTTTTCCATATAAATTATAGAGCTCAAACAAAGAGGTTCTAAAGCCACCTTCCTTCCCACTTATATCAACTATAGGTATGATATTTTATCGATAAATCTTTAACTCAATCAGCATAAAAACTTGTTCAGAGACCAAACGAAAGAGCTGCTAATCGAATACGGCTGCCTCTGCCAGTTAAGCCCCGTTGATTCATGCCCTAAGAATCAGACATCCACATACAATGTAAACAAATTTGAGTCTGACTGCTTTGAGGTACTTTAGTTAAATTAATGCGTTTCTAGCACCTTATGAAAAATACTTGAAAACTTTTCGTTTCTTACTCAAGTGAGCGTTTAGATAATGCGCTTGTAAGACCTGCCAACCCACCATGTCTGTCTCCCGCTCTATCTGTCTCTCCATCTCTCCCTCTCTCTCTCTCTCTCAGTTCGTTTAAGCGCCGCATTCGCAGCCAAGACATGGCAGCAATTTGTGACGTTTAAGAGACGCAGCTTGGAGGCAGCGACTTCTTGACAGGACATTAACTTGCACATGGATAAGTTCAAGTGGAGAGCTGTCTCAGTGTATGTGCGTATGTGCGTGTGTGTGTGTGTGTGTGTGTGTGTCATATGACTGCTCTGATGATGATTCATGATGATGATCTTTGCCTTTGCCATGGCTAGCAACTTTTTGTTGTTGTGCCTTGGCCATTGCCATTGTCATTTTTCACTGGCAAATGTCGTGTGTGTGTGTGTGTGTGCGGGTGTGTATGTGTGTGTGGAATTCTGTATTCTTCGACTGATAGCTGTGTTTGCCCGCCGGCCTCGTTTTTCGACAGCCTATTAGTTTTTATTATTTGTTGCAATTAGTTTACGGCCACGACAGAGCCCCTTTTGTCTGACTCGGCGCGATGCGGCTCCAGCTCGGCTTTTATGACACTTTTGTGCACATTTTTCAACAGAATGAGCGTCATCTGTTGCCGCTGGGCGGCTGTTTTTCTCGCTGCCATTGACAAAAGCCAAACAGCGGCAACGGCAGCAACAAGGACAATAAGTGCGACTCGCCTGATATCTATGATAAATTATGGCCAAAAGTCAAAGTCATCAATCAGCGGGCCATGTTTTATTTGCCGCTCGTGGCCATTCGCCATTTGCCATTTGCCATTTGCTACGCCCCGCGCGCCTCGCCCAACTGGTCATCGGGTAGGTCCAAGACTTCCTCTGTACATCTGCTAGCCCAGAAAGGATTAAAGTATGTATATATAAATCGCAAGCTCGTTGTGTAGCTCAGGTGTCGCACATTTCGATTTAATTTTCATTAATATTCATTCATTAAATATGCAAAAGGTAAACTGCGGCAGCTCCGCTCAGCTCGGCCCGCCTCGATCCGTCTTCAATTTGAGCCTGGCCAAAGCCCATTAAAATTCCTTAAAGACCGGGCCAGCAGCACTCGCCTTGACTCGACTCCTTTTCATTTTCGAGTGCTTATTAATATTGCAAGGGACCAGAGCCAGGATTTGCGGACATTATGATGCGGTGAATGCGAATTTATGCGACTCATAGCCCCTCCAACAGCCATAAAATGCCCTCTCTGTCTTTCTCTGTCTCTCTCTCTCTCTTGCTCTTCGAGTGTCTTGCTCTCGCTCTCGCTCTGGCTCTGCCTTTGGCTTTTTAATTATGCATTTTTATCTGGCTACAGTTGCTGAGTGGGCCAAGAAGAAGCATTTTGGCAGCTAGTTTTGCCACTTAGCTATATCAACTGTGATTCACAGTCTGTGAATCTATTGCATTAACAACTCCTCGACGCCGTCCCACATGGCGTATGCGCAATTTATGAATTGCTTTGATCAGCTCTGAACAGCCCTCGACTCGAGTATGCCCTCTCGTCTGTGTCTGTGTCTGGCACGAGTGCCACAGCCAGCTGATGCCAACTGTAGAGGGAAAATCCTTGACATGCATTGATGATGTCAGCGGCAGTTGTCAGTGGCACTTACAATTAGCATCCGTTGGGCTTGATATGAATAGCGTATTTTCTATTAGCAGATATAATACCAAGTAATGGGATATCAGTAAACTACAGTAAATTGCATTCAATTGAAGCCATATATGTATATGTATATGTATATGTATGTATAATAATGCCTAAGAGCTTCAAGTTGACATTTTCTGCTACATTGATTTTCCTTCATCAAACTTTGTATTAACTCGGGAAGTGCTTCAGCCAAGACTTGTTCGTCCCATTCCCTGGACAAGAAACACTCGGAAGCAAGCCTTCAAATGAATTGAAACCTTTTTCCATTCTTTCACATATTTTTTTTTTTTTTATTTTTTTTTTTTTTTTTTTTTGCTCAACACCTACGCAATTTACCTCAACTGCGCCGTGTCGTGGTCCCTGCTGGCAGCTGGCGCATGTTTTAGATATGCAATGCGGATGCCTTTGGGAAATTAACGGTACGTTTTAACGGCAACGTCAACGCTCGCTTAAATGTCTTTCATTGTGGCAGGACTTGGGGGAACATTGCGCAATCAGCAACATTTGCACATTTTTAAGGTGTGCGTCGTAAACTGAAGATTGAGCACAAAGAGTACGGGAGTAGCAGAACGTGAGTGAAGTAGGAATGAAGCACGACAGCCTAAGCAGGATTGAAGGACGTTCATTAACAGCCGACAGATCGGAGTGGATCTTGGCATGAATACAACTGCTGAAAGAGGCAACGAAGGACGCTCAATTGGCTTTCAGAAATTTTAATATATATAGAAATTATTTAAAATAAGCAGAAAACAATATTCGAGTGTTTGATTATTTCACTCTTTGTTATAACTACATGATGTTGTGAATGGTATTTTACAATGTTTGAAGAGTTTAGGCTAATACATAGTCCTTTTCAAGTATTTGATTATATTTTAAAAATTTATTTAATTAATATTTTCAAAATTCCACTCCAATTTCTTAAGTATAACCTATCCATCAACAACAACAAAATATAATATTATATATATTAAATTTACATTTTAATTAAAGTTTTTCTTAAAGAGAATTCATTCCATTGATTGGCAAATGCATTTATTTGTAATCAAACCTTGAAGCGCACTTAAAGCTGTCATGTAAATGTAAAGTTGAAAATGACATCATGTTTCGAGCGGGCCAGAGCCGATAAACAGCCTATAAATCACTCACTTTGATCTCATCGATATTTTCCCATTGTTGCAAATTTTATTTCGTTGCATTTTGCTGCGCATAAATCAAGTTGCATGTGTGCGTGTGTGTGTGTGTGTGGCGCGTGGGGCGGCGTGTGGGGCGTGTGCTGCAACCCAATCAGCCAACTCGCAACAATGCCAGCTTTAAATACCAACGGCATAATTTATGATAGCACACAGATTCGAGAGGGTCGCATTGAGCGAGTGGCCGGAGACAGTTGTGACATCAACAATGAACAGAGAGAAAGGGAGACGGAGAGAGAGAGCTCTGGGGCGCGAAACTAATGTCGAAATATGAAAGGACCTATCGGAATAACAGAAACAGCCATAATGCATCGCATCGTATAATTAGTTGTAGCTGTGTAAATAGTAAAAGCCTTAAAAGTAATTGCCTATGGAAGTAAATAGATGGACTGGATTAAATTTAAGATGCAAATGTTTTACTATTTAAATAATAATATTTTTATTTAAAAATGGTATTGATAAAGGGAATCTTGTACTTTAAAAACATTTTTTTATTTTCAGAAACTTTTTACCCTATTAAGATAGTGTATATAAAAAATAAAATAAAATAAAATAAAAAATACAAAAACTAAATGATATTGAACAAAATTTACCATTTGAATAATTTGTAAATAATAAAATATTAAATAATCTCTTTAATAATCAATAATATATATTATATGTTATTTAAAATCAAATTAAATCATTTTTCGTTGGATGCTAAATATTTGCTATGGACTGAACATCGAT